ACTGAGATATCCACATCTCACTGGACGAAAGCCAAGCAGCATGCACTCCGAAGCCAAGTCCGTCCCTTGATCATTAAAACCGATACCACCAAGTCATCCCAAAATGAGGTTCTGAAGCAGGTCAACACCCTACTTGGTAAACCGATCTTGAAGGAGTTCTACTTCGACGGGAGCGACATTGGTGCGTATGCGGATTGGAGGGTCCGGGTCTGTGATGAGATCGACAACTACAACTGTTCACGTGAGGTGAGCGTTGAGATAGTATGGGCTTGTCTCAAACCCTCACTACGGTCTCGCATAAGACGGCGTGTGTCCAGCACTGATCGAGTCCAACGCGGACATGTTGCCATATTCGATGTTCTCGACGACATCTATCTCACGCCTAACGAGTTGAAGGCCTTCAGCAGCCGATGGGAAAAGGTTGTACAGCTGCCTAATGAAACTCTTCAGGACTACGCTCTGCGATTTGAAGAGCTCGTGCATACTCGACGATCTCTCCTTGAGGCCGACATTCCCGATAGTGAGTTGGTACAGAAGTTCTCCAATGGCTTCTGCGAACCTGCTGCCATACTCGCCAAGATGCTTGTCGATCCTCTCGGACGTCTGGACTATGAAGGCTTCAAGCTAGCGGTGGTATCCTTCGTGCAGTCCGGCGACGAGAATGTCATTCCCTTGTTGGGCTCCAAACCATCACCCGGTGCTCCCAAGCCATCTGCGTCTGATACCTCCAAGAACGCCAAGAAACCTCTGGCCCGCAAGGCAGCCTTCGACACTGATGATTGCTACGCCCAAGTTCACCTTGCCATCACCAAGTCCCTGGGGCTAGATCAAAAGGCCTGTTTGCGTTGTGGCCAGAACGCCAACCACTTTGCAAGAGATTGCAACTCTCCCAACATCTACAGATGTGCCGACCGTTGCCAGACGTGCGGGGACCTACGATCTGAGAATCATCGCTGTAGGATTTCCCCACGGAGGGTGGTGTGTTCAAGGTGTCATAAAACAGGGCACGTTGCTGGTGTCTGCCGTAGTCAGCGCAAGAGCAGCTCTGGCAAGCGCAGTGAGGTGCCCGAGTCTGATGGTGAGGCTCAGTTCAAGGACAAGTTTCCTGTCACTAACTCTAAGTGTGCGCTGGTGACCTCTTTGGCGGCGGCTGCTGTCCGCAAGAATGCCCCCGACCCTGTTGTCGATT